CTATGGAGTTGGTCCAGTCGCCCTCTGAGAGATTCGCTTTCTTACCAAAAGCACCTCCTGAGAGATTGACTCCTTTACTGGACTCTCCTTCTAGGAGATTCGTTTTCTTACTGGAAGCAACTTCCAAGGCAACTTCAATGTAGTTAAGGTTGTTATGGGAAACATTCAGAGATATTAAAGATTTCAAATGGGAAATGTCCGGTAAAAAAGTCATGTTACAATAGACGAGATTTAAATGTTGAAGATTTGGCACGTGCATAAATGTGTCTTGGTGAAGTGTCGGCAGAACGCTTTCGTATATAGTCAGGTTTGTCAATGACGCTAAACCCCGGAAAGATTCTACAGTGAGAGTGACGATGTTACACTGTTCAACAATTAGTGAAGTCAAATTATAAAATTTTTCAAAGATGCCCACAGAGAGGAAGCTCAACCAACCAGGGCTGCTGCAAGTTAAGGTCAGGGATCGGACTCCGGCGGGCAGTGCTGTTATGGTGTCATCGGATGAAGAGATGGAGCTGACTAAACATCTGACGTCGTTGTATAGCGCGTGAGAGTTTCTGCTACATTGACATTGGTTAATCCAACAAGCATCATCGCCATCGCCAAACGCGGACTGTACAACACAGGCAGTTGCGATCAGCAATGTGAAGTGTTTCATTGTTTTAGCAGGTGAATGTCTGCAATCTGGTCATGTAATGAGATTGGATGTACTGAAGAACAATCCTGACCACCAGAACGATCCGCTACAGTCGAGGCAGACTGAAACAAAATAAAGCTGAATGCATTAAAAAAACCTAAAGCGAAAGCTCACGAAAGAAGCAAAGGTGTTGAACTAAATGTCATTATTATTATCGAAGTGATTGAACAGGATAAATCGGAATTCAGAAATTGTCTGCATCCTCTGTGTGACATATAATGGCACAGTTAATGAACGATTAAATCAAATAAACAGATATATGCAGACAGATATACACAACCCACCACTCACGTCTACTCATTCTTTCTAGTCTTACAACATTATCACGCCAATGGAGGAAACGAATAGGTTCTCAGCTCAGTCTCATGTACTCCAGTCTAGACCGGCTTCATCAGACAACAGAGGTTTGTCTCATTAAGCGCATCGCGATTGGCTAGTGTAACCATTATACGTATGCAAGGTCATGTAGGTATTCGAGGCAATGATGATGTGGCAGACCATGCGGCTATTATGGCATGGCTGCTCTGGCACTGGTCAGGAGCGATGCCATCAATGCCAAGTCAGATGCATATCGTGAAGATGGTGACAGAAACAAGTACGACCGTAGCCATGTCCAGGCTGGTTGATATGGGTGTTCATCAAGAAGCAGAAAGACAGGAACATTTCTCCAAGGGAACAAGACATCTGATTTTACTGAAGTCAAAACGAGTATGATCAGTCAATCTATGCTTGCGGGTCTATTTTGGAGGAGACTGTGGCACTAATGAACTGTCCGTTGTGCAATGATGACACTAACAACTAAATACAACATAGTCAACAATATGTTGTCAATAAGAAGCCATAAGGGTGGATTTTTTACATACTTTTGAAATAGGTCATATCAACAGTTACATAACAAATGAAAATAAGAAAAACAAAATTAAATTTTGTTGTCACAGATCAACGATTACTTTTTATCAGCTTTAGCACGCGATGTAAACAAAAAGGAGCTCTTGAAATCTTCTCTGATGACTAATATACCCAATCTTCCAGTGTCGCTGCTACCTGAGGGTTATATTTTTTCTCTGTGACTGGGATAATCTGAACGATCTTTAAGGCATGCTCTGGCGTTTGATCTGGAAGAAGTTTTTTTAGGACAAATGGCCACTCCGAGACTTATTTTAGAAGATTTTCCTGAAAAACAATCCTTATCTTGAACTTTATCGACTTTAACAAGGTTTTTATTGGCTTACAAAACATCACTGTGACGAATCTTGAAATATTCTGGTATTCCAATTGTAAAATAAATGTTAATCAATGTCTGAAGGCTCAGAGTAAGCAGTGCTAAGATTATGGTTAAAGTGACTGGTTTGCAGTTAAATTGAAATGAAAAAGTATTTTATCTCCCTTGTTTTGGCATACCTGGCTAAAGACACAAATCTGGTGCCAGAAATACCTGCATCGATTGTGTAGGTAGCACACCATAAAAAGATCCGATTGCACATTTAATATTGTTCTAACTAAGAATACCAACGACCTGAAAATAAAAACAGATGATATCGCAAATATAGCATTTAATGTCGGACTATAAATAAATTATGGAAAGACGAACATTTTGAAAATATAAATAACAGATCAAGTAAACGTCTGTCACACTAAAGGCAGAAGTAAATACACTGATAGATCAATATGCCCATTCAAATAGTAATTTAATTGCAACCCCTACACCCCCCCCCCCCCCCCCCCCCCCCCCCCCAAAACAAAAAAAATTAGTTGCGTATCCTTTCCATGACGTCGCAAAACCAACCTCAGCATTGTTTTCCTGGTGTGGTATTTCTAGGTAAATATTACATTCAGTACTTTGCCATTGGCAAGACAACAAGGCTAGCTGATGCATGAGAAACTGGATGTTGTGAGGGCCCTTTAGGAGCGAGTAAAAAGTGCTGAGTCATAGGCAGATCATTACGGTCTGAGGAGAATGGCGCTGCAAGTAGTTACAAGGCCGACGCTCCACACTTAGGGGAAAAGCGAGACGGACGGATATTCAATCAGACAGTTACTTGTGTCATCGGAATTGGACTCTTCCCTTGCTGCTGAAGATGGGGATGGAGCTCTTATGGGAGTGTCCCGAGTGCTATGATGTCAATTCAAAATTCAAAGTATAGAAAGATTGTGCAGGACAGATTAGAATGAAGAACAAGACCTCAAGCACTTACCGTTTCTACTAAATTGTACATTGGTAGCTACTGCTCCCGGATCTGTGCAAGCGACTCTCCTCGGATTTGGGAAACTGCCCTAGAAGGAATTTAAATATGGCCGTCTACCACTTAATCTTGTCCAGAAAAAGATATAATAGTGAACGGAATCTTGTCTGTCTACCATTTTAATTGCACAAGAATACGATTAGCGCAGCAGTTAATCTGGACTAATGATGCCAGTTAAAGTCTGTATATATTCGCCTGGGCTTCCCTCTAAGGGTTGAGTGTTTACCAAATTCTCTAGTCACTTCTATTTGTATCGTTCTTTCTAGACTAAATTACTTGATATACATTTAAAAAGACTTATCATATACGATATTACCTGTCACCTTCAACAATATAATCCGTTCTCATGGTTTTCAGATAATGGTACGAGAGTCGCACCATGGAAGAGGTTGGGGCCTCACCACGTAATATTCCGAAAGATAGCAGTGGTACTGTAGTCAACCTTCATTGTGGAGACGTCACACAATCTTTTTTTTCCCTCAACAATACATAGGCTCTGGAGCTTGGAGTTTAGTGCGTGCCTTCTGCAGCTTTAAAATATCAGAGTTAGATTTTCGCGGCAGGTGGCTATGAAAAATAAAACAGTGATACGAGAATCTCACTATGGAAGAATATGTAACCCCACCACGTAGTGCTCCCAAACACAGCAATGGATACACAGCACCTAAACTCAGTTGTAGAGACGGCTCACAATTAAATAATTTATAAAAAGTGAACAACGAGACATTTCTGAAGATTAAAGAGTAAAATGTTAAGTCAACTAAGATGTGAAAACCCCACACCAGACTTGGAAATGGTTATCTGTGGAGGAAACAATGTAGCCTACTGCAACGTCCTTGTTCCACAAACCATTTCACGCTATCTTTGTTCTGGCTAGCATATACTGCGGGATCCTGTTGCTTTTTTTTTTTTTTTTTTTCAAATGTCGGGTGTTTTAAAGTGCAGGAAATTCCAGTCTAATGTCCGTGGACGTCGTAAATTTAGCTGTCATAATGCACGGAGCAACAGGATCTCCACGACTGTTAGGCGTGACAGGATACGAGACTTCAAGGTCGTTTGTGTATTATTAATCCTGTAGGAGATAACGTATTTAAGTGATTAGCCTTTCTGTTGGCTGATTTAAGAAGGCTTGTTACATGTAAAAATTAAAAATGTAAAAGACCCTTTTCCACGCCGTTGGGGCGTATTTGGGTATATAGGGTTATACCTAACTTTTTATAGACCACTCGGCACTTGTTGGGTGATGTGGTCAGCATCACGCCGACCGCATTTACTTCCCAGTTCTGTACCTGGTACCCACGGAGGGCTGGGTCGACCTGGGAGCAAAGGTCATTTTTGAGGGGGAAAATCCGACCCAAGTCAGGAACCGAACCCACGACGTTCCGATCCGCAGGCGAGCGTCCAGTCGCTAGACCATGGTGGCTCGCCCATGTTACATGTAGTGGCATTGTATGTTGCCGCTAAGTGCTCAGCACTTGAGGGCTTAGGTATCTCAAGCCTTCGCCCCACCCTCCACCCACCCCCACCGCCCACCCCCGCCCAAATTATAACACTGTTAAGGTTTTTTTTAAAAAGCTGTTAGTTATACGTACATTGTTTTTAATCCCTGTGTGAGTTCGGGGGTGCCTTTGTGTGTGTGTGGGTGTGGGGGGGGGGGAGTGGTAGATACAATGCCTCTTTTGAAAGCATGTCGTAAGAGTCGATTAATTAATTCAAAATCAGAAAGCATCAGCCTAATATACAAGGAACCAACAGTCTGCGTACAAATGGGCTGGATCTGTAAAACGAATGTGCACGCAAAACTCAGGTTCTGGAACATGACTAAAATAAAGAAGTAGGCGAACAACCAGAATTTTCCCTCGGAGTTTACAGCTGGTAATCACGAAGAAGAAGAAGAAGAAGAAGAAGAAGAAGAAGAAGAAGAAGAAGAAGAAGAAGAAGAAGAAGAAGAAGAAGAAGAAGAAGAAGAAGAAGAAGAAGAAGAAGAAGAAGAAGAAGAAGAAGAAGAAGATGATGACATATGTTTTCAAGCACATATATGCCATTCAGTATTATTCTGC